CAAAACGTAGCAAGAATTGCATTTAACATTCCCCTGGCCCTGGCCATTTAACTTTCTCCTGGCCATGTTCTCTGGTCATTGAAATATGTTGCGTGCTAGGGCAGCAATTTTTCGTAACCTCCTGTGATATATATATATATATATATATATATATATATATGATAAACAGTTAATGGTCAGTGTTGAATTAGCTCAGGAAACAGTAGTATTAAAGCGCTCAATGCAGATATAAAAACATAGAAATTTAACATGTAGAGATTTCAAGTATAAAACATTGGGAGATCAGCCGATTTCGCCATCTTGATTTTAACCTTTTGGTATCTTCAGGCGATTTCGGTCAATTGATTTCCTAAGGCTTTATTTAAAAAAATAAAAATAAAAAAATAATAAAACATTATAAACGCTATATTTTTTAATAAATAAATAAGTGTACAATGTGGGATAACAGAAGGAGGAGCAAGGAAAGAGGAAACGTATTTGAAATGTATCGGCGGAGATTAAATAGAATATACATCCTTTTCATTCCACTTCATATGAATTCTAAAGTGACATTTTAGTATGTATACATCGGATCATAATTTCTGCTCTATCATTCAAATGGTGTTTTCGTGTGGAAATCTTATTACAGGTAAATATTCTAGTTAACGAAGGTTGCAGATATTGCCATGATTGTTGTAAGGTTGTCCTTATTTTTTAGACTTTCCACTTTAGAAATTGATCTTTTTTAATTTTTTTTTCTTTAATTTTCAGACATGATTGACTAGTCTAGTAGAATTCCTAAAACATTCTAGTTTAAAAGATGACGTGATTGCACCACCTAAACTCTGTATAAATATTTTATGTTTTTTTTTTTATCTATTACGCCTACTTTGTAAATTACTGCTTCAGTTTTGCAAACTCTGTCTAATGGACATCTAATTTTATTTCTACACTTGCATGTCTCACCGTTAACGATGATTTGCTGCAGTTTTAGTTAGTTTTTAAATTTCTGGTATTTTGTCTTTTTTTTATTTTAGTTTCTTGGTTTTTCTCTCCTCCTCCTCCTCTTCCACCACCACCTCCCCCCTGTCTACCACAACTCTCGTCCGGCGCTTATTCATTTAAGCTTTAGGAAATCAATTGACCGACATCGCCTGAAGTTAACGAAAGTTTGAAACCAAGGTAGAGGAATCGGCTGATCTCCTAAATTATTTATATATATATATATATATATATATATATATATATATATATATATATATATATATATATATATATATATGTGTGTGTGTGTGTGTGTGTGTGTGTGTGTGTGTGTGTGTGTGAAAATATATAGAAAATAGGAAAGAACTGGTTAGGTAAATAATCCAAAGTTCTTTAGTATTTTTGTTATTATTTTTAAAAAATAGTGCTCGATACAAAAGTAGAGCATAAATATAATTATTTATTTAAAAATATGATTCCAACACGCTACATAAGAGTTCTCATGTTTCAAAACAAGAGCCTAAAACTTCAATACAATTATTTGAATTAAATTGAATTAAAGTAAGTTCTGTTCCATCTTCAAGCGAAATTTTTTTGGGAATAACTTATTTCTGAAATTTACGTGTTTTAATAGCATATTCATTATTGAAATCAAAATTTCTATGGTAACGGCTAGAGCAATTGTTTAAATAAAAAGGGGTGTAAGGTGTTAATAATTTGTATCAGTATAAAGTTACATTCACAGATGTCAAGTCAGGCTAAGGTTGGGGTGTCTAAATTTAAAGCGGAAGATGACTTCGCCTAGTCTGGTTTACGTGTCTATGGAGATTTATTTATTTTTTTATTTTATTTTTTTCTGAAAGGGTTTTGTGTATATAAAAACTGCCGTAACATTTGTCTTTTGACGACTTCATAAAGGGTTATCTTTTTTTGTAGGGCATTTAAACTATTAGGACTATGGATTTTAAAATTTATTTTATTGTTTGTTTGTTTTTATGCTAATTATTCAATGCAAAAATTTGATGATGTCTGCAAAAAACCGTTAACTCATGTCTATTGTTTAATAGATTTTTATTATTTAGAAACTTAATAATGTGTAGTTTTTCATGTAGGCATAAAGGGCGTGGGTCATCGCAAGTTTTACAAGTTCTAGTTTTGTTTAAAATTTTCCATTTGTTTATAATTTTCCATTTGGAAACATTAATTAAACAATTAAAGGGTTGTCCTTCTCCTAGACCAGTTGCAATCCAAGGCTATAGAACCCATAGCTGGAGGGTGAAGAAGAGATTCACACCATTTCCAAGGGTATTAGCACGTAAATGAAAGTAATTGATTCGACTGGAATTCGAACTCGGCTCTCCGATTTCTCAATCCAAGTCGATATCCATTACTCCACCGTGCGTGCGTGCGTGCGTGCGTGCCTCTCTCTCTCTCTCTCTCTCTCTCTCTCTCTATTTATATATATATATATATATATATATATATATGTGTGTGTGTGTGTGTGTGTGTGTGTGTGTGTGTGTGTGTGTGTGTGTGTGTGTGTGACTACGCCTTCTTGGGTTCATGTTTTCCACTGGCATTAAATATTAATGCATTAATTATCACCGTAAATACAGCATTAAGAAAAATTCAAATATAAGAATATTTCAAAAGGTTTTACCCCTCACCTAGAAAGCAACACCTTACCAATTTTTATAAAACTAGAAACGTTATTAAGATTTTTGTCTTAATTTCTGCGCAGGTGACATGTGTGCATCAAATCTAAAAATGGACAACACAAAGACCCAAACAATCACGAATTATCTGGAAAAAAAGGTAGGAAACCCAAGGAAATCCACGAGGACCTGGTGCAGACACTTGCTGTGGACTGTCGTTTTGGGCTGTGGAATTCATTTGGGGCAAGAACAGCACAGAAGATGACCGTCGGTCAGGTCCTCCGAATGCCATTCACCGTATTGTTTTGGATGATAGACGTCTTACTGTCCAGTAGATAGCTAAATCTATATGCATTAATTCTCGTTCATTCCAGACTGTTTTAACTGCGATATTAAAGATGAACAAGTTGCCTGCAAAATGGGTCCCAAGAATTCTAACAAAAGAACACAAGCTGAATTGAGTTGACATTTCCAAGATACTTCTGACTCGCTTCCAGGCTGACCCTGTGAAATTCCACCGTAGATTAGCAACAAAGATGAAACCTGGGTTAACTATTCGATTCTGAATCAAAGATTTAAAACTAAGAGTGGAAAAAATATGGTTCTCCACTTTTGATGATGTTGATGCAGGCAGCTTCTATTGACAAGGTGATTCTGAAAGGTTTAATCATGATACACTACCTGGAAATGGGAAAATGGAAAAACTATTAATGGACCGTACTTTGCATCAGACATCAGACAAATGAAGGAAGCGATCAAGTTGAAACGCAGAAAGAAGCTGATGCGCTGTGTGCTCTTGCACCAAGATCACGCGCCCGTTTCACACTGATAACTACTTTATCTTAGCCAGACAAATGTGCATTTGAACTGTGACTATACCCCCCTTGCTCACCTCAGTTAGGGCCATCTGACTTCTTACTCTTTCCTAAACTAAAATCCCACCTGCTTGGTCGCCATTTTGGAAACAATGATGACATCATCTGCGCTATGCAGGAGTTTGTGGGTGACCAGGAGGCCAGCTACTTCCATTATGGGATTGCTATGCTTAAGCATCGTTGGGCCAATTGCAATGATATCAAGGGAGATTATATTGAAAAAATAGTGAAAAACTAGCTTGTTTTTCCGACTCATCCTGGGTGAGACTTAGAACTTTCTGAACGACACTTATAAAAATAGAAATAAAAATCCGATAATAATTATAGAGTCGGAGTGAGATCTCGGAGAGCCAAGTTCGAATTCCAGTCTAGTTCGTTAGATTCATTTACTTGGGAAAGGTATGAATCCATCTTTTATCCATCCCCGCTAAAGGTTGAATAGCAGGACAGACTGGGCTCTTTAGGATTGGTTGGCAACCAGTCTATCGCAGAAAGAAATGCCAACCCACTGCTGAAAAAATCTGCCTCGTCAGTCATGTATTAAAAGATACATGATCGACCAAGCGTGTATCACATATGACACTTAACAGACTGAATGAATAATGATAGGCATCTACACCAATCTTGTGTAACAATTACTACATTGCCAAATCTCAAACCATTTTCGTAAATAACCAGGACAGATCGAGACTTTCATATGGATAGCATGCATAGCGCCAAACCCATCCAGAAATATCTAAACTCTCAGTTGTATAAAGAGTAAAGTCTGTATTATGTTGAATAAGTTCATTCTACTTCGAACCTGAACTGGATCTATTGAATCATATCATTTCCAGCAGGAGCAACAACTTGAATGGATAGCACATATAACTCTTAGTGGGCATAATGACATCATCAAGATGTTGGCGTTCTACATTATATCAAACAGATGATTAGGAAGGAAACGTACATGAATAAGGGAAAGATCGATAACTAATAGATTTGGGGAATCGATTTTCTTGGGAAATTGTTTTGAGATTTTAACCGACGGTAGTTTTGCATGCTAGTTCAATGAATGCCAAATGTGTCCTTGTAATTAAACAGCTTAGAGAGAGAGAGAGAGAGAGAGAGAGAGAGAGAGAGAGAGAGAGAGAAAGAAAGAGAAGATATATATATATATATATATAAATATATATATATATATATATACATACATACATACATACATACAGATAGATTCGATCAAACTGCAAGATAGATAGATAGATAGGTGTACAAAGAAAGAAAGAAAGAAACAAACAAACAATAAATGAAATAATAGATCTCACTACTTATGTATGTGTCATTTATTTATATAGTTATTTAGATAGATAGATAGATAGATAGATAGATAGATAGATAGATAGATAGACGGACAAAGAAAGAAAGAAACAAAGAAAAACAAACAAACAAAGAAAGGAAGTTAGAATAAATGAAATAATAGATCTCACTCCGTGTGTATGGGTTACTTATTTATTTATTTATTTATTTAGATAGATAGATAGATAGATAGATAGATAGATAGATAGATAGATAGATAGATTGGCGGGCAAAGAAAGAAAGAAAGAAAGAAAGAAAGAAAGAAAGAAAGAAAGAAAGAAAGAAAGAAAGAAATGAAATAATAGATCGCACGACGTATGTATGGGTTCTTTATTTATTTATTTATTTAGATAGATAGATAGATAGATAGACAGACAGACAGAGAGAAAGAAAGTGTGGAAGAAAGAAAGAAAGAAACGCGTCACAAAAAAAAAAGAAAACTTTTCCAATTAGTCTTATTTTTCTAGATAGATACATAGGTATATACAGATTGGTATATATAGGAAAAGATAGAGCCGCTATTAACATTTCCATCACCATTACTGTTAAGGAACGTATAGACATATTATATTAAAATTAAGGTTAATTCCTTTTTATTTATTAAACAACTGATAGTATTATCTGGCTATTATCAATCGATACATCTTTCTGTCGACCTAATTATTTTGTAACTATATATCCATCGATTTCCATTTTGTTTGTGTTTGAAAATGTTCACTTATTTCTCATTGGAACGAACTTTTGGCGTGTTTTTTTTTTTCGAATGCAGAATAAATACACAAATGAATAGGATTTCATCAAGTGATTTTCAAAGAAGGTGGGCATTACTCAAATGACATTTGACCTTGTGCCAGACTAAGCTAAGCTAATTAAATATATGTGCGGTGATAATCACACATAAAGTTGACTTGTAGTATAATCCCAATTAACGGTGCATAAGTCAATAAATTAAATATGGAATGTCCTGACAGCTTATCTGGCAATGGCTATTTAACTAGCGTCAAATAAAGTAGATAGAGAAATTTCTACAGACTGATATATATATATATATATATATATATATATATATATAGAGAGAGAGAGAGAGAGAGAGAGAGAGAGAAAGAGAGAATGGAGAGAGACTGAAACAGAGAAAGAGTGATAAATGACAAAAAATTATAAAAGTGTAAGATAGATAGGAACAGATTCATATATATATATATATATATATATATATATATATGTGTGTGTGTGTGTGTGTGTGTGTGTGTGTGTGTGTGTGCGGAGAGAAAGAGAGAAATACATACATACAGACAGATAGATAGATAGATTCAAACAAACTGCTAGATAGATAGATAGATAGATAGATAGATAGATAGATAAATAGTTATCCTAAATGATTGAACGCGTCAAAAAAAAAAAAAAAAAAACAACTCTGCAATTAGTCGTATTTTTCTAGATAGATAGACAGTGTAAACCGCGCTCATCATTACTTATCATCCCTGAGGTGCCTCTCTTTCGCAAGTGAGGAAAATTATACTGAGAGGTGCCCATCCCTGGGTAACAGCTGCCCGAGGACAGGCCCTCTCACTGCACCAGAGATAGTGAAGGTGAACGCACCGAGGCCATCGTAACCGAAGGTTGCGGGATCTCCGGGTAATTTTTGTTCCTAGCCCGGGTGTATGCGCTCGGGTTCCCACCTAAAAAACTTAACTTGTGTCACTACTCGTTTTAGTGGGGAGACAGTAGATAGATAGATAGATATTGGTATATAAAGAGAGAGTACACCGGCTGTAACAGACTGAGATATAGAAAGATTTTTTAATCGGTATCACCCCGTGATAAAGCCACTAAAATACAAGGGTATACAGGGTTTGGAAGAATTAGGAACAGAAACATTAATATTGAATGAAAGGAGAAAATAGTAATCAGCAGGAGAGTAGATAGCGATTGACATTACATTTAAATTTTTGCAGATTAAAGATGGCTGGAAAGTATGGAGCCAGAAAAGTTTTCCACAAGCCAGAAGTCCGACAAATGAAGGTGTTAGCATAGAACTTACCTAACCACGATATCTAGCCAGCTCAGATGTCAATTGATGAGATCTCGACACCAATCTCGTACTGCGCTGCAATTCATGATGTCTAGGCACAATAGAGAAGAGGTCTTTCGAAAAATTACCATGAAATATTTTTTTGAAAAGGTACAGAGAGGCTGCTTAGGGCTCTGAGTAAGTGACTGAAGCCGAACCTCCAGATCAGAGCCAATGACATTACTAATCTTCTTCTTTGGATCTTATCAAGGAGCCCAAGATAATAGAAGGGGCACCGGACCATATGTGGCAGCAATATTGTAAGCATGGGTGAATGGTAGAATTATAAGACAGATTATAGAGAAAAAATTATCTTGCAAAATACAGTGAACCGATTTTCTTAGCAGTTGGCCTAACGATGGATTCAATATAGTTTTTACACTTCATATCAACTGAAAACTTTAGCCTGAGAAGGCGTGATGTGTCACATTCCTGAAGGTTAGCATCAGCCGTGCTGATGGAAGACAGAGAGCGGTCTCTCAGGTGAATAATGGAGAGAGTTTAATTTTCGAGGCGTTAAAATTAACAAGCCAACTTATGTCCGTAATTAACTAGGGCATTGAGTTCGTTTTGGACATCGGCTGCCATTTTGACCTTGTCTGACTGATGATCCTTACTACCGCAGTAAATGGTTTTGTCATCAGTGATTTAAGAGTTGATGTCATGTCATTAATGAAGATTAAAAACAGAGTAGTACCAATGATGGGGGACACAAGCATTATTACGAAGCGATGTAGACGAGTGACCATTCAGAGTAACTTTCATTTCGCGACTTGATAGGAAAGACTGGATTAGTTAAAAAATGTGTCCGTAGATAACGTAACTTTTCAACGTGTAGAGAAGACCTATATGCCAAATCTTGTCAAAAGCTCGGACTTAACTTTTATTTGTCTAGAGACAAATAAACACTTTCTGCAATCATCATCAGTACATCGGCAGTTATATTGGAGAAACGAAGGGCATATTGCTTGTCTGAGAAAAGGTCTTGTGATGAAAAATGATCAATTCAGCATTGATTAGGGCCTCTAAGAGTTTCCTCAAAACAGGGAGAAGGCTAATAGGCCAATAGCTGGATGGGTCAAAAGTTTGACCAGAGTACTTAAAAACTGCAACAACAGATGATGACTTCCAGCAGGCGGGAAAGCAGGAGAAAGCGAGGCATTTATTATAGAGTTTAGAGATAACAGGCGCCATTTTGGAAGCACACTTTTTAATGAGTATTACAGGGATACCATTGGGTCCACATGCTTTGTGGGGATCTAGGTTAGAGATGATAGCTAAAAAGGATGGAAGCGGTTATATGCATATTACCTAACAGGTATTCAGTTCTAAGTGGGAAGTTAGACAGGGTTACTCTCAGATAAGTCAAGGATAGATTTTGAGGAATATAGCCCTTGCACTTATGTAATACCCTATTACAGTGCCGGCAATAATCCCGAGAGCCAAAATTGTAAGAAGCTATGCGGTGCCTCATTATCTATCCAAACAGACACTTATCTCTTTCGCGGACTCGCTTACATATACGCTGGCATATACGAAAATAGAGGTTTCCCTATGCTAGAGAGGCCGATCATACTGGTGTTAACCATAGGGATAACTGATGTTTGACCTGGTATGTTCGAGAAGGAATGAAAACATCAATGCAGGCTTTGTCCCAAGGAGAAACTTCAGTGGTGCAATTTGTTGACCATGCTCACCATAGTCTATGAATATAGAATGCAGCGCAGTACGTAATCTGTTCAATGAAACAACGTTAAAGATTAACACTCACGAGTCAGACACTCTACTGAATCTGACTATATCGCCAAGACCACCAGGAGCTGTTCCGTAGTTCTTCAGTCTTCGATATCAAAGGCTGGCAGTGAATATTCGGGGAAAAAACATGGCCGCCTTTATACAGGTCGCATTGAATATTTTGAGCGTTCTGATTGGTTGAGCCTTGTATTGGTGAACTATAAAATGAGTCAGCTCCTTTTGGCTGGCTCACTAGTATACCAGGGTACCCAAAAATTCCAATACAATTTTCAATTTGAAATTAAAGGGGCGTCACGAAGAAAATCATGGAGTCCCAGTCAGAATGCTGGCAACGGAAAGAGATTTATGGATAGGACGTTCTAATGGATTCTTGGGAGGAAATAACAATGGATTCCACAGAATGGTCCGAATAACCAAGAAGGCAGTTTTGCAAAGCTCGGCAAGAGCGAGGAGAGTAGGTGAGAATAGAGATGCCTGTTACTCGGTTTTGCTGGGGAAACGAGTAAAAAGTCCACGATTTGACTAAGGAATTGGGCAATGGAATACCAGCAATATCAGTACCGATAAAATGTTTCAGCCAAGGCTCATGGTGAGCATTGATATCCCCGAAGAAAAGATGTTCACAGATAGCTTGAGAAAAATCGCCTTTTTTATACTGTCAGCTATTATGCCAAATATACTGCAGTTATGAGAGGAGTGGAGGCGATAAATGAAAAAGAGATAGCTAACAGAGTTTAGTAACGATCGACGGAAGCACATGAAAGAGGGTTTCAATAAACAATTCCCTGGCGATCGGAAGATTATCCTGGATGTAGACACCAAGGTCATTGATATGAATTCTGAAATCTTTTCGGCAAAGGGAAAGATTACCTGGAACTAAGACTACATTGGTAGCAATGAAAAAAAAATTAATTTGGTTTCAAATAGGAAAAAGATATCTAGCGACGATTCCGAGGTATGCTGTAGAAGTTGAAACGAATATTGGAGAAGGAAAGGTTTTGGTGTGTTTTTTTTACTAGATTAATTGTAATTCTTTTTGTTGTGTTTTCCATGAGATTCATTTTGAGAAGATAAAACAAAGATCGCTGTAATTGTCACTAGTTGTCGTCAATGGCAATTGAAACCAGCCCGGGTAAGGCTAAGAACTGAACATAATGTGACATGTGGGTCAACAATCATGAAGGGTCACTTACCCATGCGCGACATGGTACTACAGATAACCCGATATTATGCAACTATTGATCAGAGCAGCCTTTCTAAGCGTTATTAAAGAGTTTAGGCTCATAACGACCAGTTGGAAATAGCAGCCAGCAAATTGCCAATCCGGTACCCTCATAATGGAAAGTCACATCCTCTGGTTTGTCTGATCACCAAAACGTTAAGACAGTTAAATCATTGTGGCACTGGTAAAAGAGAGAAAAAGAACTGGTAAATCAAATGCTGAACAAAGAACAAGGGATGAATATCCATTCCTGTTCAATAGACATGGAAGGAGTGCAAGCCGGATTATAGTTGAACTATTTATTTTACTCCTATTAATCTGTGAAATAAAAAATAAATAAAATAAAATACGAATGAATTACATTAAGTCTTGATTTAATTCTGATGTCAACTACCAACTAAAAAAGTGGCGATGATAAAACTTAAATCACTCTTAATTTTTCAGCCTTGATAATCAATAGTTGGTAAACATATTCTAAATTAAACAAGTTGTGGTGGAGGCTGAAATAAAAAAAAAATGAAATTGATAGCAACAGAATATAGGATAAGCTAAAACATCGGAAACGCATCACATAAAAATTAAGCTTTCTGGATAAAACAATAAAAATACATCCGCATCCTGGGTAAGACGATGAACTACATCCGCGTCCTGGGTAAGACAATGAACTACATCCGCGTCCTGGGTAAGACGATGAACTACATCCGCATTCTGGGTAAGACGTTAAACAACATCCGCATCATGGGTAAGACGATAAAATACATCCGCGTCCTGGGTAAGACGTTAAACAACATCCGCGTCCTGGGTAAGACGATGAACTACATCCGCGTTCTGGGTAAGACGATAAACTACATTCACGTCCTGAGTAAGACGATAAACTACATCCGCATCCTCGGTAAGACGATAAACTATATCCGCGTCCTGGGTAAGATATAAAATACATCCGCGTCCTGAATACGACGGTCAACTACGTACGCGTTCCTGAATAAGAGGATAAACTACATTCGAAAGCAAGGCCTTTGATCAGAAGGTTTTGAGGATCATGGAATCACCTATGAATTGCTGATGTTCCCAGGTCCACCCTGACCCGGGGTTGTAGCACCAACAATACATTTTTACCAACAATACATTTTTCGAATGAAAAAATAACACCACCAATGCATTTTTGAAAAAAAAATTCAGGGATAGATTTTTGAAAAATTATTACCAACAATATATTTTTGAAAAATATTTTAGCAGCAATAAAAATGTTGTCGGCATTAAATAACCCATTGAGATTGATATGCCGTAAAACAAAATAAACCCAACCAATCTAAACCAAAGAATACATATTCTATTCATACGAATCTATCCTAAAATGTTGGCGGCATTAAATAACCCATTGAGATTGATAAGAAAAAAAACAAAAAAAACAAACAAACAAAACCAAACAAAAACAAAAGAAAATAACAAAGTTTTAAAAATTCACAAACCACAAGATGGCCCATAGAATTTCAAATTATTTACAAGAGATTATTTAAATTCATAATTACCATAATTAAATTTTACATTTTTTTATGGATAATTCAAGCGGACTTGTCTTCAATGGTGGTTTATTGAAAATTAAGGCGGCTCTGAAATGGATGTCGATTTCCAAGGTCAAATTCTCGCACTGAGGATGGATGGTGAATATGGTGAGATAGGACGAAGTGTCCCGAACAAAAACACTCACTTGGTATGGGGGGTGTAGGTGGAGATGGTAGGGATGAATAGTCCAGAACATACCTTGTGATTGGTGAGATAGATAGATAGATAGATAGATAGATAGATAGATGACCTTTACTCGCTCTTCCCGAGAGTGTAACTTGCTTCCACTTACTTGCTTCCCTGATAATTATAATCTTCAAAAATTGAAATGCAACGTCAATCGCCATCTTCTGTTGGTCTTGAACCCGTACATTTTTTTTATCCTTTCCTCAATCGCCATATAAACAGTTTTTTTCTTTCTCTCACATTCACTTTCTCTAACCACATGCGTACTAATTCCAATCCCGCCTTGCTTGTCCTGAAATGATTAAAAAAAGATAGATATAAACAAAATGATATAGATAGAAATCAGCAGACTAACACACACGTATACACCCACATATGTATATATATAGAGAGAGATACATACATACCTACATAAGGACAGAGTGATATATATAGAGAGGGGTAAAGATAGGTAGGAAGATAGATAGAAAAGGACTGATATATATAAAAAGAGGTACAAATACAAATAGCTAAATAGATAGAAACAGACTAATATATATATATATATATATATATATATATATATATATATATATATATATGTGTGTGGAGGGTAAAAGGAAGAGGCTATAGTAGTTCCAACGAGAGAAAAAGGTGTATATTAAAAGAAGAGTATTACCGCAAAGCATTTTGGTTGTAATGTGGATTTTTTTTTTTTTTAAATATTATTCTTTATTTTCCATAATTTTACTACACGGGTTTCTGGTTTAGCGATCGTCATCAGGTAAAGGGTGGAAATTTCCACATATTATTAAAAATAATTCAGTTTTTTCTCCTTCATGTTCAAGTGAACATAGAAGTCAACACTTAGAGGCGACAGTCTGTTTCCTGCTATATGCAATCGTCAGGCCATATGCAAGCGTCAGGCTATATGCAATCGGTGGCCTGACGATTGCATATAGTATGAAACAGACAGTCGCCTCTAAGTGTTGACTTCTATGTTCACCTCTATATTTACACACGCTCTATCTCTGATATTGAGCACTTTATCCCATAAATATAGCACACCTTAAGACTATATTTCTTCATATATATATATATATATATATATATATATATATATTGACAGAGAGAGATTTGAAGAAACTTAGATACGAACACAGTGAGATATATATATATATATATATATATATATATATATATATATATATATATATATATATATGAGAGAGAGAGAGAGAGAGAGAGGGAAAGGGAGAGAGAGATAAAGAGAGAGATACATATAGAGTGCTACAAAATATCCTACATTTCTTATTATTTTTATTTCCCGACAAGAGGAACGCAGCCGTTGATGAAATAGTTATATCTTGAGTGCATATATGACCTTTGACATCCGCATCACTTGATGGAGAGCACTTGGACACTTAAATACAAATTCGCTTTTAGGCCAGTCATCAAAGAAGGAACGGACAGTTGTAAAATCTCTCTGTTGTCTTCACCTGGATGGATCGCATCTTTGATGACTTCTTTGATATAGTCAACCATTTTAGCACGTTGGATCGACAGTTCTTTTTCAAGCATGAGCTTGTATCTCTTCATATCCATCGGATTCCAACTTTTTTTTCTTTTTAACTTTTGAAGTATCATGGAATTAGGACAATTTTATGATACACGTAAACTCTCTACGAAGACGCTCTGCCAGTTCGGTTCGAGGTTTTGGTGTCGGCCAGAAGAAAACATGCTTAAATCACATCGTGGTCCTCATACAAATCTCCATCATTCAATTCGGTATTTGACGTGGTAATATTAAACGGGAGAGAAATAATAGAGTTACTTATAGTGAATCGATTCAACTACTGTATCATAATAATTTGAGATAAAGTCGACCCTCGATTTACGAACACATCAGCTTAAGAAAATCACACCATACGAACAAAATTTATCAGAAAATTTGTTTCCACGTACGAATTAATTTCGACTTACATAATTAAGAATGGACTTCCCGCCACAGCATTTCAAATTAGATATTTGATATAAATCGACCGTAAATACTGTTTAATCTTATTTAAATATACTATATTTTATAATTTTATTCATTATACATTATATTATTATATATTTTATATATGTTAATATAATACTGTTGTATTATACAGTATTACAATAATTTTTATACTGCATTTTTATACTGTACTGCACTCTGCTATATATTTGCTGATATATCTTATACTGTATTTTGTATTCATATATTGTTATTTTTTATATACAGTTTACATTATTATATTATATGTTTTATATACAGAACTGTATTAAATTATTATACAGTACATATTTCTATGCAGTTCCATAACACTAGATGTAGTATGATGATACGAGAATTGCATCATCCCATCTCAGCCTTATTTGTTACGTCGTAGAATAAACATTTGTAGTGTACGCATATTTGTAATTAAATTAGTATAAGTGTAAAATAAATTAATAATGTGCAAAAATTTGTGTACAGTAAGGAATATAGTACATGTACATTACTGTACAGTACGATAGCATGTGAATTTTAAAATTTATTGAATTGAAATAAATATTATTATATTAAAAAATGATAATAGCGAGTTCGTTTCGTTTAATATCTATGTAATGTAAAATGTGTTTTAGTCTAATATGCAATGTATAATCTTTGAATTCTAAATTGATAAATACTGTAGAAAAATGTAAAAAAAAGAATATAGATAAAATTTTTAATCAGAGAAAAATAAAATGTATAAAATGCAGACACAACACGTAAGCTATGCAGTAAAATGAAATACGCATCCACTTCAGGATGCTTTGAACAGTACATTTCATCGCTGCAGTTTGTTCGTTTACATTTTTTCACACAGTTACTGTACTGTACAGTTTAATGTGTTACTATAAATATTACTGTACATGTACAATAAATTTTAAATTTTAGTGAGTAATTTTTGAGACAATTTTTGTAGCCCTCGATGTCACCCAAGAAGCTGGTTGCTATTAAGAAGAGCGAAAAATATCCGTGCAAAACGCAGATTCTTCAGAAGCAGGAAGAAGGCAACCGTGTTTATGACCTTGCCAATCTATACGGACGTTCAGCATTAACAATTTGCATTATCCTAAAGAAAATGATAGAAATAAAAAAAAACTTTAAGTAGCCAAGGGAGTTAGCATAATTACCAAACATTGTCCAAAAGCCTTGGAAGATGTTGAGAAGCTGTTTTTGGTGTGGGTGAATGAGAGGCAGCTACGATGCGAATCTTTGTCTGGAGATACGTGGATCTTATTAGAAAAAATACCAGGCACGTATTCAGAAGATGAAAATGCATTTAAGGCAAGTCGAGAATATGTTGAAAAATTTCAAACGAGAACTGGCAACCACAGTGTTGTGAGACATAGCGAGTCTACGAACTATGATAAAGCTGCCTTGAATCAGAAGTGTTTTGAAGTGACCGAATTATCAAACCTGACCGTAAGAGAATTTTGGAAAGATCCCTTCAGTATCTTAAATTACTTAAATCTTATTGCTAAAGCCTGGAAAGGAGTCACAGTGATATATTTATTGACATTATTTGTGAATAATCTTTACAAAAAAAGTGCGTTAATTTAATAAAATACGGTTTTTGTTGAGATTTATATCAATATTTTTCGGGGGTTGGAACGAATTAATTTGATTTCTCTTATTTCAAATAGGGAAAATTATTTCGACATACGAGATATCCTGTTACGAATCCACTACTGGAACAGGTGAAATTCGTATGCCGAGGTTCTACTGTACTTATAACGTAGGTCCAATCTTAATTACAGATACTACAAACCAGTTATCTCCTTTATGTTTTTATGAGACATTCTCTTTGCGTTAGTAATCCGAATTTCTTTCTTGAACTATATATATATATATATATATATATATATATATATATATATATATAATAAGTGAGTTGCATTTCGAGTAGCAGCTTGGAACAACTATTTGCTGTACCCTATGTTAGACATTATAAATACGATCAATGCAGATACTTAGATAAGATTTTAAAATTAACTTTTACTGATTTAATATTAATTTTTATAAGATTTTAATATTAACTTTTACTGATTTAATATTAATTTTTACGTATAACATGATAGAAGAAACGTGTTAACGTTAAATTTAAAATAAATAATTTACTTCGAACCAAATAATATACTAAAATAATTTCCCAATATAATTTAATAACTTATTATAAAAAGTTATGAAACTAAACATAGACATGGCCAAATCACGTTGACAAATCGGTTTCCATACAATCACTGAATTTAAGCAACCTCGAACCTAGAGAGAACCAGTGCCTAGAGAGTTGACTGTTTGGGAATATCAGGTGCTGTACGCTTGGTGTAATGGATAATGGCACGGAAAATGTTGATCAAAGAGCCAAGTTCAAATTCATTTGGGTTCGTTACTACCCCTGGGTAAGGTGAGAATCCAAAAAGTCTCCCAACAGCTACGGGTTAATTAGTAAGACGCATCACTAAACAAATATCACGAAAAATTATTCGTACAATCTAAAATGTATTTTCTAGCTTTAGATAACGTGCAAAGATTTGATAATCTGTAGAAAACTAATTAATCAATAAGCAAAACTGAGAAAATACGTGATATTACTCATTTAATCCAATGTTTTGATCAGACAGATGAGGCCAAGAAAAGAAAGGCAAAATTATCAAGTTCTGAATCTCGAATCGCTATAATTGATTGATTGTCGATTATTGAAAGCCAAATTTCTTTTTTTAGCTAACAATAATTTCCAGATAAAAATTTTACTATTTACCCCAGGTGAGAGACAAGAACTGATTTTGTACCTTTTCCAAATGTATTTGGGCATAAGTGAATGTATCAAACCTGACTGGATTTCGAACTCACCTCTCTGTTATCCATTGCAACACCCGCACATCCAAGCTTTGCACCGTCTCATATTTCCGAGATTTTTAAATAATAATCAGTTATTTAAGTCTTAAAAATTAACCCATAGCTGGGGGGAGAAGAGGTGGATTCGTACCTTTCACAAGAGCATTTACGCAGATGTGAATATAACGAAGCCA